TAAGGCTGCATTGAATAGTCAGCCCTACAGTATTGCTGGTTCGCACAACTAAACTGTTTTAGTAACACCTTAAGAAAAATACACCTGAAATGGCAGCATTGTGGTTAGTAGAAGAGGTGCAGATGTTTCGCTTGTTGATTGTCGAGGAGTTGGTTGAGATGACCCAGAATGAAAAAAGTTTGTCAGGAAGTCATGACTGTAGAAGCGATGAAATATAGCAATAGTCCCACCCACTAGAAGCAGCCCTTAAATGCAGTGGAAATGCAAACCGAGATGAGCAAAACCTCATCCTGTACCACATCACACCAGGCAGTGGAAAACTGACCTAAAAATCAATTCCAGTAGTGGAAACTGCAAAACAGACATACCAAAGATGTAGCGATTTTGTAAAATGGCTGATCAGGCTTAACAACATGTAGAAAAGTTACTTGATCATTTATTTGCCAAATCAGGATGGTTTGCAACAGACTAGTTCATCTGGCCAGGACGGAATTCTGGTGGAAAACACTTTTCTATTTATTTGTTCAATGCTTTTTTCAATAAAGAGTCCCACTAGTCCAATGGAAAATATTGTCCCAGATATCTCATATTTGCGCTCAGTTCACATTCCCTTAATAGAGAGACTTATACAGTGGTGTACTATATAAATGCAATGGGGAATGATTTCCAGACACATGGCTACAAACGCTTCATTATGATTAACTACCTGTCTGCGTTGCAAGCACCTGTTTCTTGTATTTACTTCAGGAAGTAGATGTCCTATTTATATATCTGGTGTGTTGTGCAGATATTGCATTGTATCAGATTTTAATCTGATGTCCAGGAAATGCATATAAGGTTGGGGTCAGTACCTTTTTGTAAATGTAGTGTAGTGCAATTTTCAAAGGTTTTGATTTTATAGAGAGGTCTTCACTTTATTGAAGGGGTGGACCACAGTGTATTTTTAAAGCTTAGTTGTGTTGATAAGATGCAAAGCAATGTCTGCATATATATATATATATATATATATATACACACACACACACACACACACACACACACACACACACATATATATATATATATATATATATATATATATATATATATATATATATATATTCTATATATATAACGTTAATAAATCCCGTTATCACAAGAAAATACATTTTTTGTAAAATAAGTTAGATACACAGACTGCTCGCCGGCCCTGCAAGCACTGCTTGACATGAATGAATCTTTTAACAATATAACTGTGATGTTCTCACGGATGTTGTCTGATATTGCACTGATACTTTTGACATAGCACTACTGGTCTCTACTCTCATAAGTAGCGATATTAGTTTACTTGGTGCAGACGCGTTTGCGATGGTGTACGTGGTGTTAAATTTTACATATAGCTGCCACTTGCATGGCAGACAGCATCTGGTGATTCAATGAAGGATTAAACAGAAGCTCTTGTGCTAGATGTGGCAAACAGTTACCTGAAAATTCCATCCCACAGACTTTTCATAGCGAACGTGAAGCCAATGGAAATCTTTTATCCACTCTTCGAAAAGTGTAGATGGTGGAATAACATTTAGCACATGATCACTACTAGGATATGTCATTATTTGTAACTTTAGATGTCATGGTTTCTAAAACAGAAAATATGTCAGTGTAATTTTCATTCTCATCTTCAGCGCTTTACGTTGACTGAGTGATTGACAGCTGATATTAACCAATCCATTCGCGTTCATTTCTAGAGCAGTAGGCCAATAAGAAGAGCGCGAAGACGGGGAAAGCATTACGAACTTGGCTTTGTTTACTTCAGCAAGTTGACATAACTACTGTTAAACCATTATTAAGCACTGCATTTCACATTTAAAGTGCAAAGATGCATTCTGCGTGAATGTCTCCCAAATCTACGCATGTGGTGAACATTTTACAGTAAAAACTGGTCGCACACAACAATTTATGCACAAATGCCCCCAACTATATTTTGAGGTTGCGTAGATAACATTTCGGGTGCATATGCCACCAAAACGGTCGCAATTTCGAGCCCAAAAAATACTTACAACATGTGGCTCACAATCCACAGCTTTGTCGGTTGGAGGAGTTTTTAGCTGAATTTCCTATCAAATGCTAGCGCTATATCGTGTTTTTTATTTTATTTAATTTTTTATATATAATTCTCTGGAACATAATTAAAATTAAACTGTAAGCACTTCTGTCTTTGTGTTGTGTCCTTTGGAAGCCCAAATACAGAAACAGAAGAAGCTCTGTGGAAACAGAAGCATTTTAAAAGCATTTTAGCTTTCTCTGCTTTAACATTACAGTGCCTCTGGCCACGCCCCTTTCGCAATGCATTGTGTGTACGCGAGGTGAATGCACATAACCAGAAGCCCTGATGATCACACTAGCCCAGATGTATTCTTTTGTAGTCCCCAAATTTGTTCGCTGTATGCATCGCTAAGCTAACTCTGTAAAAGCCAATGTCTCAATTTGCATTGAACTTTGAGTGTCTTACTTTAAGAGATCTTATGTTCTCATAGATAAACTGAATGCTTTTCTTGCGAGAACAGTTAAACAGACCATCCGTGCAAGGATAAAGAACGATTCAGAAATTCAGTTTTAATTTCCACTTTCCAGCTAACAAATAAATGAAAAATAATAACAAAGTGTAGTTAAAAAACTGAGTTTTATCCAAACACGTCCTTTTCCTATGCCCCATGTGGTGATGCATATCTCCAAAACCCAACAGGAGGACAAATCTTGACTTGTTTTTATTAAAACAAATATAAATATGCATATAATAAATAATTCTGCTAACAATAATAATAACGTTAAACAAATGCAAATTGTCATAAATAAACTGAAAAAAAGCCCCCTGAGATGAGGCATGGAGGTAGTGTTTTTATATTTATGTAGAAATGAATAATCAATAATAATTAATCCTTTTTTTTCATATGTAAATATACTTGTGTATTGCTGTACATCCTGTGTGTATTAGGCATCGTGTAAGTGTTTGGACCTGCAAAGGTGAATAACTAACTGGACTGGATTTTAGACCAACTTTTAGTTGGTCAATGGCGCCGTCCATTTCAGTTTCTTAAAATAGCAACACGCCACACAGTGGCACAAATGGATCTACTTTTTAAACAACATGGCACAAAACAAGAAAATTGCTGTTGCTCTGGTCTGAAAATAGCAACAAACTGCCCCAAAAACATCTTGCGCTGGGGCACTTAATGATTTTAGAATAATTGGGTTGATTTTGTGGGGCAGTGCATCTACATAAAATATGATAAACACATTTTAAAAATAGATAAATAGAATAGAATCAAATGTAAACGGTATAGACTTAAATATTTTTTTTAAAAATCGACAAGCCTTACAGCCACACGCCTTAAAAACACTAGCTGATAACTTAATAATGTTCACTTGTCAATATTTCCACAATGATTTGAACTAGTTTCTGGTCAGCTATAATCCCAGCTCAATATTGTATATTTTGTGATGTAACTATTGCAGATACATGCATTGCTATATAGATACAATAAGCAGCCCCTGGGAATACAGGTTAGAGTTTTGTTGTTTTTAATGTATTTCTGATCAAGTTAATGGAAATTTGGCAAATCAACATTTACAGACCCCAAACTTTCGTGTTGGTTTATGAATGTACATTATATGGTTGAATAGATGCATAGATTTTAATCAATCCATCCATCCATCCATCCATTAATCAATCAATCAACCCATCAATCTGTCCATTAGTTCAACAATCTGTCAATCCATCCATCAGTCCACCAATCTATCCATCCCCCATCAGTCCATTCATAAATCTATCCATCAGTCTATCCATCCATCAATCTGTCCATTCGTTTAACAATCTGTCAATCCGTCCATTCATCAGTCCATCAATCTGTCCATCCCCCATCAATTCATTAATCAATCTGTCCATCAATCTATCTATTCATTCCTCCATACATCCATCTGCCCATCCATCAATCTGTCAGTTCGTCCATCTATTCATTCATCCATCCAATCTATTCAATCCATCAATTTGTCAATCAGTCCATCCATCTGTCCATCAATCTGTCCATCCCCCATCAATCCATTCATAAATCTGTTTATCCATCTGTCCATCAATCCGTCTATTTGTTTGTCTGTCTATCTATCTGTCCATCCACCAATCTGTCCGTCCATTAATCAATTGGTCAGTCCGTCCGTCAATCCGTCCATCCATCCAATCCATCTATCAATCAATTTGTCAGTCCGTCCATCCATCCAATCTGTCTAATCCATCCATCCATCAAATCCATCCATTCCACCAATCAATCAATCATACTGACTGTGATGTTTATGGCATCTTAAAGACTCTAATACCTGCTTGATACAAAACCTGCATGAAAGGCATGAAATCTCATTTAAAACACATTGTAACTGTTAGGATTTTCTTGCTACGTCATCCCACCAACTAGACTAACACAAAGCCAGTATGAACCAGACAAAGCCAGACCACTGTGAAACTTTTTAGTCTATACCAAAAACTCAACACACAAACAATCAAACGCAACCATTTTCTCTCTCTCTCCCTTTCCTGCACACAAGTGGAAATCCAGGGAGAGGTTTGGAGATAATGATATTCTGTTTATTCTTTTTCACCGGAGTTGACATTTTAAAACCGTAATGAGGCATGGGATTGAGAAGCGGTGTGTGAGTGAGGGAGACAGCTGGGCTGGCCTTGTAAAGGCGGGAAGGAAAAAAAGGGCCAAATTTCCGTAGTCACAGGAGGGCTATCTTTACTCTTTCTAAATGTATTTCCTGTACAACTGTTTGTGTTTCCTGTTGTGTGGCAGCTTCATCTAATTCTACAGTTTTTCTTCTTTCTTTCTTGCCGCTCGTTACCCTTCTGGACTGATACCAGCTTGTGCAGCTGAGAGTAATCCCATCCTCGTTAGGGACCCTTTGATCGTTGAATTTACTGCTGTAATGAGAGCCTAGAATGCTTTTGACTCCATTTTATTTTTTTTTTTCAGGTGTGACGTTTGCAGCGAAGGGCTATTTTGATGCTCTGGTGAGGATGGGAGAGCTGGCCAGTGAAAGCCAAGGATCTAAAGATTTGGGTGAGTGACGCCGACCTGTTTTCGCCTCAAGGGAACACACAAACCATGTGACTTGATCCAACATGACACCACAAAGGCACTCGCTAATGGAGCCACATGCTCAGCAAAGTGCAGAAGTTGCTTTCATTAAACCCTGCTGTCAGAACATGTACCTCGCGAGATGCTTTTTACATAGTGCCTTTTTACAGTAAATCTGACTCACTTTATGTACCGACGTAAATTATTCCTTGTTTCACTCACTTCGATTTCTGGAGTTTGCGTGGAAAAATGAAGTCAAAGGGGCTGACGGTGGTGGATAGGAATTCACCTGCCATGCTGCGGGGAAGCTCGGTGATGCATCATTTATGATCAGTTTAAAAAGCGGATCTAGTTGGAGGGCTATAACTTCTTGAAATAGCATTTGGCTTTCTGCTAGAGGAGAGGCTTTTAGAAGTGTTGGTTGGTTCTTTGTTCTGCTGAGGATGTGGGAGTGGGTGTATACAGTACGTGACCCTACAGATGCTTGTTGCTGATGGGGAACGGCAGCAAGTCTCATTTGTATTGGGGATGTGATATCCATCGTCTGTTGAACTTTCAAGTCTTTTGGGGCACAGACTGAACCTTCTTCTACCTCACTATCAGAAGCCCTGAGAGAATATAGGCTCTGGTCGACTTTTGTTTTAGTGTTTTTTTTTTTTTTTTTTTTTTTTTTTTTTTTTTTTTTTCCAGTGTCAGTCTGACAATATTATTTGGTTGCTCTTTAAAAAAAAAAAAAAAAAAAAAAAAAAAAAAAAAAAAAAAAAGATTCACACAAAATATACCTTACGGATGCATTTTGCTTTTTCAAGATAAACCTTCTATTATTTTTTTAATGACTTTAATGAAACTTTCAAATGAAATCACAGAGTTGTCATTGTTTTTATGTGTATTTAAGAACATTCTCTCTTGAGAATATTAACTTAACTCCCACTATATCTATTTTGGCTGCCCCTGACTCCTGGATCTTACATTCTGCTTCAATTATCATTAAATAATTTAGCCTAATTTACTAGTTTACTGTAATTAGTGGCCTGAAACATTTATTTTTTTGTATTAATACAGTTTTTTATTTGTTGTTTTGTGCCTTGTCAACATGTTACATTAATTATAAAAAAGGCATAACAATCTTAATAGTGCTGAAAAAGCATGTGACTTTCTCCAAATGTCACTTCCACTGGTAGGAATCTCCGGAAGTCATTAAGGCAAATTATTTATTCTTCTCTCATTAATTTGCATAACATATTTAGCATACACCACTTTAACTTGAATCATTTGTTAGTGTGATATTTCTGTGGATTTCTCTTTTTTTTGACATAATGAAAATAAATCTTGAGCTAAAGTACAAAATGGTGGAAATCTCTATTACTTTAAACTGATTATAAACTAGGGCGAGGCAGTGGCGCAATAGGTAGTGCTGTCGCCTCACAGCAAGAAGATCGCTGGGTCGCTGGTTCGAACCTTGGCTCAGTTGGTAGTTCTGTGTAGAGTTTGCATGTTCTCCCTGCATTCGTATATATATATATATATATATATATATATATATATATATATATATATATATATATATATATTAGGGATGTGCGGAGCAGCCGGTATTTGTATTTGTTGAGGGGGGGGAAAGTATTTGTATTTGTATTTGTATTCGAGTAAAATTCAAAATGGCGCAATTATATATATTTTTTCTATTACACTTCTAATTTACGTTATAGTGAAAGTATTATTTAATTATACCCATTATATAAATTATAGACATGCAATATTGGTTGTTGTTTTTGAACTTGTAACAAGAAATGTCATTGAAAAGAAATTAACATAGAAGCCATTATCTCATCCATGGTTAAACCAACAACTAATAAAATACCATTGTGAATATTATGAACCCCACCACCACCGTTCTTGTTGAAGGACACTGAATAGACAGAATAAAAACAAATAATACTTCAAAAAACTGTTTTTCTTCTGAAAGAACTACTTTCCAATGAACATAATTCCAAAAACTAAAATTAACTAAATAAATCTAAATAAAACCCTGCCTGGGAGATCTGGCAGAACACAAGTATTCTATATAATACTAAAAGATAAAGCCCTGGCTTTGTCATCTGATGAAGAAGATTTTATTCTCTCTGTATGAAGTATTTTCTTAGTGTAAAGCAGTTAATTTTCTCTTCACAAAATGTGTGTAGTGTTTGCAGCAAACATGCCAGCATGTGTTAAAAATACTGTGTAAGATGAGTATGCCTGCACAGGAGCAACACTAGGAGAAGGCTGAGTGACTGATTCTGTAGAATAACTGAATATGTAAAGCGCTGATCATATATGTTAAATACTTGTATGAAGCTATATGTGTCAGAAGTTAGAATGAGTAACATATTATTAAGTTATTATCCTATCATAACAATGTATGTAAACACTTAGTTCCTTTGCATAAGTTGCATCTATACTTTGCTGACATAGACCTGTAACATCTCTGTTGACATGAGCTAGTGGGCTGAGAGCCAAGAATAGCAGGACCCCTTAGACTAGAAAACCTATTCAAAAATGGTAAAGAGTTAAAAAGAGACACAAAGGGGTGTGTCATAAAAACCTGTATAAAGATTATGGAGAACACAGATACTTTAGAAGGAGCAGGAGGAGAATGCTATGAGGTCTGCTCAGCTCTTTCTCGGCTTTATTATGGAGAATAAAGTCTATTTTCTGATATTCAAAACCTCCTGTCTGATAATTTGTAATTGATGAGAAGTCGAAATTCACGACACTGCCTGCCACAAAACAGACACAAAGTTTGTTTGTTTGTTTGTTTTTTTTATGTTTAAAACTGACTTGCTGGGGCAGAATGTGACTGTGTTGATGGTTTGGTGCTTGTGGAGGATTTAGCAGAACATAGCTGTGCTGATTGAGGGGATTGATGCTTGTGGGGGGTTCACAGACAGTATCAGGAGAGGATGCTTTTAGTGCATGTGATAATACATTACATAGAAGGTTGCGCGGTGGCACAGTGAGTAGCACTGTCGCCTCTCAGCAAGAAGGTTGCTGGTTCGAGCCCCGACTGGGTTCTCCCCATGTTGGCGTGGGTTTCCTCCGGGTGCTCCGGTTTCCCCCACAGTCCAAACACATGCAATACAGGTGAATTGGGTAAGCTAAATTGTCCCTATTGTATGTGTGTGAAAGAGAGTTCATGGATGTTTCCCAGTGCTGGGTAGCAGCTGGAAGGACAACCATTGCGTAAAATATATGCTGGATAAATTGGTGGTTCATTCCACTGTGGCAACCCCAGATTGATAAAAGGACTTAGCCGAAAAGAAATGAATAAATGATTATGCATAGAAGATGTTGACCGATGTTTAATATCTCTGCCTCTGCTGAATTCACTTGTGCACACATTATACAGTATCAGTTTGTTTTATCTGCAGCTCCACTGACTGTAAAAGATAATTCAAAGTTTCAAAGCTAAACAATATTGGCTTTGAATGGCATAAAAACCCACATAAAAAAACAACAACAAATAATCTCTCTTTTAATGTCTGTCTTACAATCTGTCATTTTCATTGTTGTTCAAGAAGTGAGTGCAGTGAATGAATTTAATTGGCTCATATCCATCATTTCGGGTCAGCAGTGTCACATACGCCGGCCCCGTTGCTCAAGACATGAAAGCAGTGTCTCCATTATGATTTCCACAGGGAGTTTCCAGCTCTGCGACGGAGTAAACTCCCTGCTCATGTATAACGCAATCAGCACAGCTTCACCTCTCATATGAACTCCCAGAAGGTATTAGCACTTAAAGCCCACTCTCTGACTCTCACTGCGAGTGAATCACACAGAGGCAGACAGCCTGCTGGACACACACTGCACAATGTGGACATCTCTGGTTACACACTCTACATACAGTACACACATCTGATCATCTGTGCTGCGTCATTCACATTCCTGGACAAAAGACCGCTATGGCAACCATATACTCTCTGAAAAAACATCATAATTAATACTTGGGCTCTGTCAATGTGTGATTACACTAAACAGAACAGTGTCATTGTTAACTACATTTCTTAACATGGGCTATTGTGACCATTCAAACTTCTAAAGCATTTACAGATCTTACTTCATGCTGATTTCATGACTGTAATACATTATTAGGAATGTCACAATAATGTCACACAACTCATAGACATGACCTCAATCAGTTTTGGTGATGCAATGTTGTCTCCCATACATAAAACAATTCTGGTAACATTTAACTGATTTTGCAACGTTTCTATTGGAAGTGTCCATGTCAATATGGTTAAAATAAAAACAACAACAACAACAACAACAACAACAACAACAGCACTATAGTATTTACAATAATTACTGTAGCCATCATGTGAGTGTCTGACAACTGAAAATACATCAGGTAGTAGATATCGCAGCCGCTGGTACTTTTACCTGGCACTTTTTTTTTTTTGTTAACATTGATTATTATTAATGTAGGATATGTGTTTTCACATTTTGATTCCAATGCCTGATTATTAAAATGACTAAATTAAGAATTGTGTTGAATAAAATATTATATGTTCTTTGGAAGAGTGTACTTGCATTGTGACAATATTAATGTTATTTTGGCATTGTCTAATGAGTGGCATAAAATGGTCCTAAAATGACAATAATATAATTTATTGCAAATATTTTAATGCAATATATCGTACAACAAAAACTAAATATGGTGACAAGCCTATACTTTATTAATATACATTGTTAATAATACATTGTTAAACAATTTACATACATGAACAATATGTGAGCCAATACCAAATGTATTAGTCCTACTTATTGTTAGTTAAAAAATTTAGTTTGAATTAGTATTTATATTAATTAGGTCTCTCACAGGTAATGTTAATTAAATCATCAAAATGATTTAATATTGATAATATATTCATATCAAAATAATTAATATACTCCTCCACCCCTCCCTCAATTAAGAAAATAAATAAATTTAAAACTTACAGAAA